AGTTTTTTTTTTTATAATTGTCAATAAAATTTTATTTGGTAGGCCAAAAAGTCTGAAAATTTAATACAAGCTTTCTTATATATTGTTACAATATCAGTTGAAAAATTTTAAAAATACATAGGCACGATTTTTTTTTATAAGCATTTAAATTTGGAATTTTGACAAAATTTATCAAAATCTCGAAAATTATCAATCGTTGGAATTAAAAAAATATAAAATGTTCAGTTTTTATAACTAAGAGTTGAAAATTTAAAACAAAGATTCTCTTAAATAATTCATACTGTAACCAAAAATCTAAAAAATATATAAACACACTTATTTTGTACAGACATTTTAATTTCAAATTTAGACAAAATTTCATATTTAAACCAAGAATTACGATTTTAGTTATTTTGTTGTGATTGTATAATATTATTCGTGGGTACTTGAAATTTCTAAAGTAATCTACTATATATATCTATGATAGTATCAGGGTTTGTTGTTTGTGTATAACGCGTTATAAGTACCTAATGGATATTGTGATATGATTAATTTGGAATTCATTATAGGTCAATTTTTTTTAATACCATAGATATGTATATAATATGTCTTATACCTAGAAGGACATACCATCTCCGCTCAGAATCGTTTTTCTTATACAATGATATTATATCATTGAATTCAAATTTAATACCATCCATTATACAATGACCCACTTGTAACCTACTGTACAGCAGAGCGACACCCACTTGCCCACCTTTTTTTTTTTTTATTGTTGTTGTATGAACACCACATTGTGTTTTCGTAAACTAGGTAGGTACCGACCCGTCAAAATGATTTTCGAATGATATATACCGAAGTGACGTTTCAAGAGCTTGCATTATTTTTCTTATATAATGACAGCAATCACTGGAGCAGAAAAATCATTTTCCTAACTAAAACTAATAAAAAATTACTTAAGAAACGCATGTGGACGAGTGCGTTCATCTAGTATAGCAATTTCAAATATATAAAAAGAATGAACTAAAAATCTAAATATTGAGGAAATGATTGACAATTTTGCTTTATAAATTATATTTCTTATAATAGAATATCTTAGATGTTTATGTAATTATGATGTTAAATAAATTATTATTTATTTAAGATTACTCTTAAATATCATAATACCTAATACCTATATGTTAAAATATGGTTATAAATTTATAATGCAATTCGATTTGTAGTAAAAATATAATGGTTTAATACTGTGAATTGTTTTTCAAGGGAGCCCCTAAATTTTCTTTTGCACCAGAGCCCTCAGAGTTCAAGATTCGGCCCTGAGTTTAGTCAACGTCCTAATCAATACCTAGACAATATAAAATATACATTTATTTAATTTATTTGAAATTTCTGTAGTTTAACCTTTTGATACATTTTCTTACTTACTTTAATAACCATTTTCTAATTAAAATAATATGCTTTACTAATATAACAACTGTATGTCTGATGAAACAATAATTCAATAATGTTATCAACTCATGCGTAATTATTTTATATCTATCTAAGAATTTAGTTTGTTTTCGAGTCTCTAGTACCCTACTAACTATTTTACTTTATTACTTTCAAAGTTTCAACTTTAATTTGATTTTCTGATAAGTTAATTGCACTTAAACTAAAATATTTTTAAATTGTAATAAGCATATCAATACAGGCAACTGAGTAAAATAAACTTACAAATAACATGGTATTCATTACATTTAATATTTTAGATTCTGAGTGGAACGATGAATGTATTGATTTTACAATTATGTGTGTTTTTATATTTTTTTATTTTTGTGTCTGTGTACACGATAAGTAGTCGAAATAATGATTCGATTATCAACTTTAGTATCTTGTTCGATTCGAAAGTTTCTTAAGAATATCATCTATTGAGATGGCTATATTTTATATGTTATTTTTAGATTTTATACAGTGATATTAAATAATAAACAAATATTAAAATCTATGCAGAAAAACGTATTGATATTTATCCTGATGATATTGAAAACGATTTCATAGGAGAAGTTGTACAATTTAAAGATATAATTTGTAACTTTTCTATTGAAAACGAATCTTAATAATATAATATTTTAACACATAAAATTTTCAAAATATTTTGATTTGTTTTGAACTGCCTTTTAGATTCTGGGGGGAACGATGAATGTATTGATTTTACAATGATGTGTTTTTTTTTTTAATTTTTATTTTTCTGACTGTCATCACGGTTTGTTGCAGTAAAACTGCTTCGATTTTCTTCAACAGTATCTTGTTCGATGGCATTCAGGAGGTAAAATTTAAAATTTCCAATAGTTTTCACAAGGGCCGGGAAAAACAACATAAAAATTAAGGAAAAGCGGGAAGTTTTACTCAAAATCGGTTTTCCGAAAAATCGATTTTTTTTTTTGTGGTTACTCTTAGTCAAATGAACTTATATACATGAAATTTTCACTGGTTGTTTATATTTACACTTTCTATACATGATAAAATTTTCAAAATATTTTGATATGTTATGAACTGTTTAGGGACATTTTCAGATTCCCATTTTATTAGATTTTTTTGTGTATGAATGTCAATAAAACTTTATTTATTGAGTAAAAACACTTGAAAATTTAATACAAGGCTCCTAATATATTGTTACACTGACATTTGAAAAATATTAAAAATCCTTGGTCACAGTTTTTTGTTATATGCGTTTAAAGCTCAAATATTGACAAAATACTTAAAAATTACGAAAATTTGCAAATTATTTCTAGTTAAAAATTCATAATAATTTTTCTTTTTAAATTTAAGATTTTAAAATGATATACAAGATTCCTTATAAGATTATCTTCTTTTATCAAAATGAAAAATGTCTATAAGAAAGTCAAATCAAATTTTTATGAGCGTTTGAAATTCATATTTTTACAACATTTGATATTCACTCGATTTCTCATGTAACGATTTTCTTATTTTGTTGTAATTAAATAATGAATGACTGTAGATACTTGAAAATTTCACTGAATGTTTATATTAGCATTTCCTATACACCATACAATTTTGAAAATATTTTGACTCTTTTTAAGCTGTTTACGGAATTTTTTTTTCTATGAATGTCAATAAAATTGTATTTTGGGTAAAACAGCGTGAAAATTTAATGCAAGGCTCCTGATATATTTTTACAATAGCAGTTGAAAAATATAAAAAATACATAGGCACAATTTTTATGAATTGAAGTTAAGAATTGAAAATTTAAAACAAGGTTCCATGTAAATAGGTAAATAAATAAATTACTTTATTCACAATACTATTATCAACTATACTTAGTAATATCATAGCCTGACTGACCATTTTGGCTCAGAATTGTTTTTCTTATACAATGATATTATATCATTGAATTCAAATGTAACACCATCCATTCCAGTGACCCACTTGTAACATACTGTACAGCAGAGTGACATCCACTTACCCACCTTTTTTACTTTTGACCCCCCAAAGTACCAACCTAGATTCACTATCCTATCAGAAAAGATACTGTTGAAGAAAATATAAGCATTTTTATTGTCCTAAAAGGTGATGGCAGACACAAAATATTAAAATTAAAATTAAAAATTAAAAAAATTAAAAAAAGCACACAATTTGTAACATTTAAGTAACTGAAATTTTGTTGCATATATTTACAATTTTGACTGCATATTATATGGCATATTTTGATACTTATTAGTGCATAAAAATCCGCTCTCTACTAATATGCATGATATTTACCACCAATGAATAACAAATTCAAATAGTTTTGTATACATACGTATAGAATATAATTTCCAAGTTTCAATAATTTTGATGAAACAGATTGTTCGGAATACTAGAAAAATATACCAAAAACTGGTCTCTGCCCCTTTCTGAGGTATTAAAATATCGTGGAAAAATATTTGAAGCATTATTTTGAATTTTACATAAAAAAAAGATATTTAAGTGTAATTTAATAATAAACTATTCATATTAACTACTTTATACCTATTCAACATTTTTTTTATCATCTGGGATTCACCTTGCATAGTTGCACTGTATAATCAGGGGCGAAATTTCAATGAAAAATCTGGGTGTGCTAAAGCCTTTTTGCATTATGTTATTTTATACTTATAGAAACCAGCTTAAAATGTAATTTAACATCAACAAATTTGGGGGTGCTTAATTCATAATTCGGGGTGCTAAGCACACACAACCACCCTCAAATTGGACCTATCAATATAATAATATAGTATTTAAATGGGGTATTTAACCCATCAAAAATCTCTTGCCATGCTTCTCTACGCACATTATGGTCTTTGTATTCCACCAAAAAAATGTCGTACAGTGATGGATTAGCACGTACATTTTCGATCAAGCTTTCTTCACTGTACGTGGAGGACATTGTCAGGTTAGGACCACGGACAACGTTGAAAGTTCGGAATAAAATTTCTCATCACACGTTAAACGTATTTCAAAAATGTTTGAAACGTGTGGCGTGGAATTGAGTGGGAAAGCGTTGCGTGTTATAAATATGATCACAAAATCGAACAATATTTAAAAATAAATGCTTTAAACGCGATTTAAAATTATCTGCGTGTTAACGCGTGGCGTGTAAATACATGTTATTACGTGGCAAATGAATAGTGTGTTCCTAGCTGTAATATTATCTTAAAAGACTACACTGTCAAACATTATAACGTGGCATGTGAATAGTGTGTTCCTAGCTGTAATATTATCTTACAAGACTACACTGTCGAACATTATAACGTGGCATGTGAATAGTGTGTTCCTAGCTGTAATATTATCTCTTACAAGACTACACTGTCGAACATTATATAATGCCATATACCTACCTAATGTGTAGACGTTTGACGTTTGAATCTCATGGATTTCTTATCATTTTAAATTCAATGATGTTATCTATTGTTAATTTTAACGTGGTTTTACACTCGTGAATTCTTGGCGATCGGTAGCCGTCTCATATTTGTTTGATGATTTCATTAAGTTCCGTGGTTAATATGGAAAACTGCCAAATGGAAACGGACGCTCACTTGATGTCGCAAGCACAACAGTGTGCACAAGCTCCTCGACCGACACAAATACAACACTCGCCAGCTCCTCTACCAAGTACGTTCTATTGTATACAAAAATATTGGGCTAGCCCGTTCTGTTCTGGGTGTGATCATCGGCGTAAACGATTTCGGTGTTCGACTTGAATACTTGATAGAAGTAGAATGTACCTGTACGCCTGGCCCGGGGGACACAGGATCGAGGATTTCTGTGTGCACAAGTGCGTCGTGGGGTGGGCTAATGCGTGGGTACTAGCCATCATCCGTCCGTGTTGGTCAATGGTCTGATCTCTAATAATATAATATTATCTATAAGCCTTGTCGCGGAGAACGGGTCTGTGATCACCAATCTGTCGGAAAAACAATCGTTCGACGGATCGTGGGTGAACATATTTACAAAATAATTATACATAATATCTAACCTATAAACATTTTAATTCAAATTTCTACGAAATAATAAATAATAATAAAAAATAAATAATAAATAATAATAAAAAATAAATAATAAATAATAATATTAAAGATACAAATGTATTTATCGCCATAAATTATAATAATATTATTAAGTCTCCTGCTGAGTTATTCGGCAGCAGACCAACTGTGACAAAGTGTCTGCAGCTACTTTAACGTTTTGTTGTTTTCATTTTCATTTTTCTATCTCAAATTCACTACTACAAAACATATTTCAAAAGGAATGTTTTATTTTTATGAATTTAACTGTTGTACACTACCGAGTAGTTATATTTCTTCATCATAGTACCTAGTTTATTTTCTGAATTTAAGCCAAAGAAGTGCAACAAACCAGTACACCGACGTCAGCTAATGCCTGTTCAAGTATAGTACAAAGTTTGATGTGCTATCGACAGGGATGGGAAAGAGAAGCATTTGCCAAACGAGCGATTGAGTCACTGGTTAAAAAGTTAAAGGTAACTATTGAATGGGCAATTAAAATTAAATTTCCCTATTACCTGAGCTGCCTAACTTAAGTTGTACATTTTAATAGATGAGATGTTATCTAGATATACTATTATCATAATATTCAATCCAATATATTCCTATAATTGTGCTAATCAATAATTAATGTTTACTAATATTTACTTAGGGAAAAAGAGATGAATTAGATAATCTTATTCTAGCTATAACTACAAATGGTTCGAATCCAAGTAAATGTGTTACAATACAAAGAACATTAGACGGGCGATTACAGGTGAGTGATTATATTTTAATTTTTTCATATCTGAAAATTTGACAGTTGAAAAATTGAGTTAAATTGTACATTTTATCGAATACTTATTTGTTATTAGCAAAACCAAAGTGTACTTGGTATTTGCAGATTCTAATTATTATTTTAGAAATTAAATATCATAAACATTAATTAGTTACCCATTAGACGCTTAAATAGCGATTATTATTTATAATCTAAACTGTATTTTGTTATAGATAGCTGGGCGTAAAGTTTTTCCGCATGTAATATATGCAAGAATCTGGCGATGGCCAGATTTACATAAAAATGAACTCAAGCACTTAAAGTATTGCCTATATGGTTTTGACTTAAAATGTGATTCTGTGTGTGTAAATCCGTTTCATTATGACCGTGTTGTATCACCAGGCATAGGTAAAATAATTATTTACTTATATTAGTATGATTATTACATTTATTAGTAATAAAATAACTATTTAGAGTTAAGTGGTCTAACGCTACACACTGGTACATCTACTAATGATTCTGGCCGAATAATTAGCATAAGAGATGAGTATAAAGATGGAGGGGAAGGAATGTCTTCCACGCCAACTGGTTCTAGTCAAGCTAGCAGTTCCAATATGAACAGTGATGTACCTGGAAACAGCCCGTCTATGGGTGTACAACATCATTTACCTCTTTTATGTCACTACAAAATTCCAGTGACTGATCAACCGTCTCAACAATCAACCGTCTCTCAAGCTGCTGGTAAAAATTAACTATGAAAATATATTTAAATTCTTAAAATATTAATGGCATGGTAATGATAGGTTAATATTTTCTATATGTCCAGTTATTTAGATTTGAGATGAATTATTTTATGTTTAAGAATTGTATTATTGTTTTGCATTTTATTACAGTTATTAGTAGAACATAATTATTTATAGGAGATATTTGTTTGTTTCGGCCCAAACTACTGCAGCATCAAATTGGTCTAAATTCTCGAGTACAGGTTAAGACTGAACCATGTGACAATTGGATGCCGAGTACACCATCACATACACCTCCCAATAGTAAGTTGCTTAACTAAATATAGTATGTTAACTTATTTTCTGAAATTCCCTTATATAATATTATATAATATTATAAAATAATAATTAATATTTATGAAAATTAATTTATGAAGGATAGCTAATTATGTGTTTATTATTATTTGTATTAAGTTACAATTTTGGCCATATTTTAAATTGTCAATCTATAATTTACATTATCTTGAGTTTACTATCAAATATTTATTGATATAATTTTCAATGGTGTAACTGCTTATATTATATGATTATTTATGTTTTAAGCTAAGTATGACACTTAATTCAGATTTTAAAAATCTATGCAATAGTAAAACCAAAACCTAGGGGAATTTCTTAAAAACTATTCAACAATTATTGATGCTCACAATGACAAATTGTATACTAATACATTTTTCCTTTATTTAATTATTTCTGGTATTTATTTATTTTTTTTTGAGAGTTTTTATCTGTTATAACTAATTTATTTATTATATTCAAATTATATTTATTTTAATAATTTTAAAGAAACATATTATATTAGCTGCATTTTTTCTTTGTAATTTTTCTTTTTAGTCAATTAATATTGTTTATCACATCTTCATTAAGTATAAGAATAGTCAGTAAAACTTTTTCAAAAATAATTTTTCTTAAGATTTTTAATTCATATTTTCTAATTTGTTTACATTATTTAATGTACATTAAGTTGCCCCCCCCCCCCCACTTCGCCAGAATGATTTCAGAATACATATTATTGTAGTCCTTATTTTTAATATATCTAAATTATATAGATAATATGATAATTAAACTATACATCAGTCATGCCCAACCCGCGGCCCGCGGGCCACATGTGGCCCGCCAAGGTATTCCATGTGGCCCGTTACAAATTGTTAAAATAAAACAAAATATTCCAAAAAAAGTAAAATTATTACAAAATACGATTTTAATTAATTTATAAATAAAAAATACAATAATAAAAATAAAAATAAAAAGTATATAAAAATGTTTTTAATGTGAAATTTGAACTTGTGTTTGTTTGACTAATAATGAAAAATCTGGTTGGAATTTAGTTGTTCCAATCCTCAAAATTGAATGAAGGTGTTCATCCGTAAGTCGCGATCTATGAACTGATTTTGTTTGTTTCATCCGTGAAAATATTTGTTCACATATATACGTCGAGCCAAATACAGTAGCCATTTTCATCATAATGTCTCTCAAAGCAGGGAAATCTTCGTGTGAAAGAGTTGAATAAAATTTTAAAATATCATTTTTTTTCATTGTTTGAAATTCATCATAGTAAAATGAATTTGTTTTTAACTCGATAAGTTCAAGTTGAAAAGAAGTATCGACATCAATTTCATCAATATTGAATGGATTTTCAAATAAACGCAACGATTTTTCGTGTAATTTAACATCTGAAAATCGAGATGAAATATCGGTTTGCAATTTGTTTAACATACATACAAATCGATTTGTTGAACATAATGATTTTGTGTTATTCTTAAATATTTGGCAGTTCTCAAAATGACTGAAATCACTGCGCTCAATTTGATTAATAAATAATTTTAATTTTGCATCAAATGCTTTAATAGAATTATACATGTCAAATATGAATTTTCCAGGTCCTTGTAATTTAAGATTTAAAATATTTAAATGTGTTGCTACGTCTGTAAGAAAAGCTAAATCCCACAACCAATTATCATCTTTAAGTTCTAAAATTTGTTTTCCCTTGTTGATCATGAACATTTCAATTTCTTTTAAGTAACTTATTGACCATTTTTCGTTAAAAATTCGGTAATCATCATTGTATTTGCTCTTTTTTCTGTCGGACATTTTAAAATAGAAATTTTATGATTTAAAATCGATATCACCCGTGCACTATAAATAGTATACATATTAGTAATGACTTACACTTTTGTGCCTAGTATAGGGTAGATAAGTTAATTAATAATTTTTGCCAATCTTATAAATCAGTACTTGTTTATAAACTTTTTTGCTATAGGACCATACATGCCATTACAAAATCCCAGTATGTTCCAAGGACAAAAGAAAGACGATTTATGTAATTATATTATCCTTTAATAAAATTATTTTCAATAAACTGAGTAATATTTTTACTTCACATACAGTACCTAATCAAACAACGACACCTCATGATTATCAAAAACCTACCACTCTGATGCCTGGTACAACAACAGATAATCGACCAGTACAAAGCACACTTACTTATACACATTCAATGCAACCACCACATCCAATATTTTGTGAGTATATTGAATATCTACTCTTTTAGAGTTATATTATATTTAAATATCTCTTGAATGTAATTATATTGTTCTTCTAGGGGGAGAGTCTGAAATGGGACTGAATGGTTTATTATCATCTCAGCCAGCTCCTGAATATTGGTGTTTAATTGCTTACTTTGAATTTGATACTCAAGTTGGAGAAATGTTTAAGGTTACATCTACTTGCCCTCATGTCATTGTTGATGGTTATGTTGATCCCTCTGGAGGTAATCGATTTTGTTTGGGTGCCATCTGTAATGTTCAAAGGACAGAACAAAGTGAAAGAGTTAGGTAAAAATAAGCAACAACATTAGTTATTAGTGTAAGCTTAATATTTACAAAGTTAATAAATAATGGTCTTCACAGGTTGCATATTGGGAAAGGTATTCAACTAGATCTGATTGGAGAAGGAGATGTTTGGTTAAAATGTCAAAGTAATCAATCAGTTTTTGTGCAGTCATATTATTTAGATAGAGAAGCTGGCCGAGCACCAGGAGAAGCAGTCCATAAAATTTATCCTCGTGCATACATTAAAGTATGTTAAGTATATTTTGATAACTGAAGTATAATACATTTTTGTTTTTGTTTATATTGATATGATACATTTTTTAAATTATTTAGGTTTTTGATCTTAGACAGTGTTATAAGCAAATGTGTCAACAAGCCGAAACAGCTAAAAGTGCAGCTGCCGCACAAGCAGCAGCAGTTGCAGGACACCTTTCAGGATCTAAAATTGTAGATGGTATTGCTCCAGTTATAAGTATGTAATTCTGTTATTCACTAAATATATTACAGCTTATCATAGAATTTATAATTATATTTTTTAACTTTTGTTAAAGGGTTGAATGCTGCAGCAGGTATTGGAGTAGACGATTTAACGAGATTGTGCATATTAAGATTAAGTTTTGTAAAAGGTTGGGGTCCCAACTATCCACGAAATAGCATTAAAGAGACTCCATGCTGGATAGAAGTATGTACTTCTAAAATGATTATATTAAATTTAGTGTCAAAAAATTATAATATAACAAACAACTCTAATTTTAATTTAAAATTATTTTCATTAGATTCATTTACATCGAGCATTACAACTTTTGGATGAAGTGTTAAACTCAATGCAAACAGATTCATCAAAAATGTTGGAGCCAGGAACGAAGCAATAATAGTTTGTGTGCCGGGGCGTTGAAGCGTCTGCACGCACTTTATCACATACACGACCTACCTTTATAACTCGTGTGTGATGGTGTTATAGCTCAACTAGAATTGGTCGGATTTTCCTCTCAAGTACAAGTGAGCTATGTAGTGTAGTGATGTGTAAGGTGTGTATATGTGTTTGTGTGTCTGCTTAAAAACTAATGATAATATTTTTAGGTAACTCGAATAAATAATAAAAATAGAGTTTAGGTATTAAGTAACTGTTTTAATCGATATTTTGATAATATACAATATAATAATATATAATAATACCACGGCAACACAAATTCATAAATTATAATTTTGGCCCAACAGAATAAGAATAATAATAATACAAATAATGTGCACAGTACTCACAACTTTGTCGGTGAACTGCTGGTCAGTTGCTACAATTTGACGATTGACACACAACAATAATAAGATCACAATCATAATTAATATAAACCGCTGACTATTCGAGCCAGACCATAACTAGAAACTCAAAATGTCCATATTATGTAGTGCCTATTAAGTTATGTTTAAAAAAAATAGTTAATTGTTCATGTTTTGTTGTTTATCAAACATAACATGTTATTTACTAAAGGCCTTGGTAAAAACTGTTAAGTTTTTTGTGTATACATTTATTATGTTTATTTTTTTAACACAATAACTATTTATAATCAAACAAGTTCTAAATATTTTTCAATTTCATAAATCTTTAAGGTTACAATAAACATCTACCTTAAGTGCAAATGAACAGATTTCCATAATTATGAGCTGTGTCTATATTATTATATTTATTTACATACAATATGATTTTGAGTCATTGTTTTTTTTTTTTTAATTTATTTTATTTTACTAAAAAGTTATTATGAATACATTTTATACTTGCAAATAAATTCTCAATCCTATGTTGATTGTTAGATCTATAGAAACAAGTAGTTTTTATATTTATACATATATATGCATAGAAAATTTAACAAATTAACGCAAACCGATAGTTACTGTTAACTTTATATTATGGATAGCAGGTTCTTACAAACTCCAGTTAAGAGGATGCTACACAGGTTCACTTTTTTCTTCCTTTTATAAGTGCGTAACATAGCAAATGTATGCTTAGCAGTTCACGTTTAACTCCGTTAGTGTAAAAATTAGAGTGAATCTACCTATTATGAAACTTGATGATAAGAACATTATCTGTGTTCGTAAGTGGGATTATTGTTATAGTTTAATTTGTTAGCAAGTTAACATCATATAATTTAGCGTTAATTAAAAATGCTCAGAACTCACTTAAAATTGAGTTATTGTAAAAAAACCCACATACAAACACAGATAATGTTCTTTCCATCAAGTTTCATAATAGGTCGATTCACTCTGATGTTTAAGTGATCTGTTCACTGTTGAACGTTAATTTGCTATGTAGACTACATAATAATATATGTGTAGCATCCTCTTAAAATTAATTATAATCATTTTAAATTCAGATTTTAAAACGACAGACTTCTGTCAGTAACAATTCCGTTAAACCACATTTAACTGTCTAAATAGACATCTTATATGTACTATTATATTATAATCGGGTGTTATTATCATGATTTGCTGTTGAATTTGTTCTTTTCTATATTTTTACCCATCTGGTGTAGTATGTACACAGTTGCCCCGTAGATACGTTTCTGAGTCATCGTAGGTATATTAGTTAATATTTGACCAAAATATTATATTTAATCAGTGTTCGACACACTTTAACACCCATCACACAGAAAAAACAGTTATTTTTATTATAAAAATAGTAGGATCAACTGTATTATACAATTGCTATAGGGATACCTTTAATTTTAATCAGATTTACTAAAAATATTATATAGTTATGATTTTATAGTTAGCCAGACAAAAATTATAGTATTTTCTACCATACATTTTTACTCTTTGCTGTATAATTTAATTATTTGATCAATATTTATAGTAATTTGAATATAGTTAATAGTACTCTTTACTTTTAAATTCAGTTATTTGACAATATGTATGGTAATTAAAATATAATTGTATAGTACTTTTTATTTTATAATTTAGTTGTTGACAATCTATATAGTAATTGGAACATATCTTAATAGTAATTTGTACTTTTAAATTTAGTTATTTGACCATTTTTATAGTAATTTAAATATAATCGTATAGTACTTTTTACTTTATAATTTAGTTATTTCACTATGTTTACAGTAATTTTAACATATCTTTAAATACTATTTTTTTTTTTTAATTTAGTTATTTTACAATGTGTATGGTAATTTAAATATAACTGTAAAGTACTTATTATTTTATAATTTTGTTACTTTACAATCTTTATAGTAATTGGAACATATCTTAATAGTAATTTGTACTTTTAAATTTAGTTATTTGACCATTTTTATAGTAATTTAAATATAATTGTGTAGTACTTTTTACTTTATAATTTAGTTATTTCACTATTTTTCCAGTAATTTTAACATATCTTTATGTGCTATTTATTTTTTAATGTAGTTATTTGAATAATATTTATAACTATATAAAAATAAAACTTATAGTGAAATTCACTACAGTAAAACTTCTTCATTATTACTATTTATAGCTATACATTTAAGTATTAAAGTATTGAAGTTTGGTTATTTATTATGGTACCTAGTTAATATACAGGTTATTTTTATTAGACAGTTAGCCAATTTTCGATTTTAATTTGAATATAATAATTAGTATTTAAATTAAAATTTGATTATTAATAAATTGTTCATAATTTTTTTCATGTATACAATTCAGAAGATATAATATGTAGATTTATGTAGATTTTTTTGAAATATTTTATTCAACTTTCATTACACAGTATATTGATATAAATTATATTTATTAAATAATATAAAACAATTTTTTACCTATAAAAGTACCAAATATATTTTACAAAACAATAGAAAATATATAATTAATTATATGCAGTATTAAGTTATAATAACAATGTAATTAATAACTATATAATATGAACATAAGATATATAAAATTAGTATAAATATTATACCTAATACAACCTATGCCTACACACAATTGCGGAAAACCGAAAAAAAACATTAAAATATATTAATATTTGTAGCCTTTAACTGTATTTAAATCAAACTATATCTAATCAGAAAACTTGATAACTCCACATCACTCTTTACCACGTCCTCATCGGACTGAATATAAACAGTAATCAGACATTTTTATGATTGACGTGATCAGTGTGATGGCCCAATGAAGATTTTTATTGTAATTTTTTTTATACCTCATGGTACATAATTGTATTCATATTCAATTACATTCATAAGTTTCTAAGTGTATGTAATAGATCAAATAATAAATCATTATTCAAATATAAATATTTTTTTATTGTTTTCAAATTTCAAGCTAATACTAGTTATAAATTATATAAATAATAATTGTGATTACATTGTTTCTGAAAACAGATTAAATTGTAGATAGAAAAATGTAGTTTCTAAAGACATAATAATTTTTTTAATTAAGCGGCATTAATGTTTTTAAATTTCCTGTACTTTAAATATAAATTAATATAACTGGTTTTATTTTCATCTTATTATTAAAATAGTAAATATGTCAGAATTAATGTTATAAAAAAAATATTTATGTATCATTGAAATGAAACAATATCATTTATTATTAGTAGCGACGTCTATCTCTATCTCTTCTGTCATGTTTGTGGGTTCGACTGCGACTACGACTACGTGAACGATGTCTACTGTGGCGGCTACGTGACCTGTGGATGTGTAAACACGAAACATACATTATACATAGTTTCATAATATAAAAAAAAATTACCTAGACCGTCGGTTACGTTCATTTCGATCTCCAATTCTAGACCGGTGACTTCTTTTATCATCTCTTTTATAACGCTCTTGTTCATAAAATTTACGCCGAGCTTCGTGTCTTTCTTCATAATTTTTCTATATTAAAAAATTAAATAATTTTTTTTTGTTTGAATTTTTGAATTGTTAATGACTAGTCTTACTTCAAGTTCTGATAGTTTTTCTCTTATTTTCATAAATCCTAAATGTAATTTTCCTCCAAAATGGTCAGCTAATCTTCGATTGTTATCCTGACTACTTAAATAAGCTGTACATACATCACACACCCTTAAATGTTGCTGTTGATAACTGCTTACAGACATAGAATTTCGATAAATATCTATTGCTTCTGATTTTTTTTTGAGCAGATCTTCAATCTTTTATTAAAGAAATATATTTACATAAATATGTATAAATATTTAAAAAAAAAAAATATGTAATATTCAACATACTTCTCCCATCAACTTGAGACTATCATCAACCATACCTTGAGCACCAAATTCTTCAGCTTTGGCCAATGTTTGACCTAACTTCTCAGCTAATTCATAAACAGCATTTTCTTTTTCAGCTACTTCAGCAGTAAGTTTTTCCTGAGTTTCTGATAATCGTTTTCTAGCTACTTCAGTCTTTCGGTCACTATCACTAATGAATGCTTGTAAATGTTCAGTAGCCTAGAAAAAATAATAGATGACTAGTTATTCCTAATTAATATATATTTATTTAAAAATGATAAATTATTTCATCAACTTACATCTACATCATAATAGTGATCAAACTTCTGTTGAGCTTTTTCAAAATCTGCTCTTAATGCATTATCGTGTATTTTTTTACATTCACCAATGTCCAAGCGCTGAAATAATATAAAAGTTTAATAATATAACACATACAACTAACTAAAACGGAAATTAAGGATTTATATGGAATGATATCAGGTTGACACAATTCATTTTGACTATTCCTAGAGAGGGTGACAATAATCAGGATTAAGAGTAAAACATTAGCATTCAAATAGACGTAATTAACTGAGTTGATGTACGTACTATTTTCGATGAAACTAAATTTTCAGAATAATTATGGTAGATAATACCGATTTGTAACTTATAAGATAAGTATTAACTACTCACAAAAGATTTGTTGATATCATGGTAGGCTTTGTAGATAAGTTCTTTTAAAGAGTAGTGAAAACTTTTAAGAGTAGTAAGAAAATTTACCCTATTACTAATTGTAAAAAAAAAATTACATTAAGGTTATGAATGGATTCCATAACTTTATTTTTTATATTTTTTACAAATGCAAAATTACCATTGAAATAAATCTATGTTATATATTATTATAGAATCTCTAATTGAAATTTAAATATTTCACTGGTAAATACAATATTTTTATGAAGAAAAAGTTTGGTATTTTTATTTATTATTTATTTGGTACTAGGAAGCAGATTTGTTGAACTATAAAATATGCAAATTAAAAGTATAAAGTATGTAGGTGCATCTGTATTATTTTTTTTTAGATACAATTTTTACTTAAAATTCTAGTTTAATACTCAAACATACCTGACAGTATTTGAGTAAATTTAATACTAATAATATAATCGCAATGATTTTTGATTTATTGTCAAAAAAATGTCTATCCATAAAAAAAATGGACTGATAGCTGAATAAAATTTAAGATATCGTAATTGCAGGACGTATCCAGGAAATCTGCATTCATATATCAATTTATTTCAATATAATCAAAAACTATAGAATCAAAATTCAAATAATAATTTATTTGAAAATTCTTTAAAAATGTATAGAAAACACCTCTATTTGCACAAAATTATGAAAAATACATTGAAAATCGTAAAATAAAACCTTAAACATCAAAAGTTTGCTTTAAAAAAGTTTCATATTTTAATTTGTATGCCAAGTTTGGTGCATACTTAGGATATACATCATACAATCAACCAAAGTAAAAATATGCACTTGCATACAAATCTGAGCTCTATTTATCATTTTATATACGATATTAGAAATATAGTTTTAGGATATGTATCTGTTTCCTAACTATTACATTTTATTAATTTTAATTTAACAACTAAACATTAAAAATTCTCATAGGGAATATAAATCAAAAAGTCTAATTTTAACATTTAAAAATATGTTTTGATTAGTATACTAAATTAGTATAACCTACATATAGGTAATAATGTAATATTAACTTAATAATTAGTACCATTGATACATAATAATAATATCCTTAGCCATTATAAATAGTTTGGGTTTGAGTTTATTCGGTTATTTATTGGATTTTTAACGAGAAAATATATATTAACAATATATTATATCCCATAAAATAACGAAATAAATTAAACATTTTTGTACTTAATTATGTCTAAAAAATATTCAATTAACTCAATAATAATTGCTTATAAACTTATAAATCCTAAATCTACATAAAATTAATATATTATTGAGCAAAATTAGAAATGATAGATTTTAGTCAGCAATATTCTATATAATTATTACCTATATATATAGCTGTATGAATATTTAAACAATCTTTAAATGTGTTTTAGAAAAAGTAAACATAATTAAAACCCAAAAATTGTTTACTCACGTTTTTCTGTAAGTATTAGGTTAATTTACTATGACAAACTTTATTATTTTTATATAATAAATACTATACGCTTTTACATAAAAGAACATGTTAATTATAAGCTAATGAATACAATACAAATTGACCAACATGTATAGAAATACTCACAATAATATGATGATTTTTTCAAGTAATATATGATGGCAAGAATTAATTTTTTTTTAGTTCATAAAATTTTCAATAAAAAAACTTTAAAAGAAAAGATAGAGAAAAAAATGTCCAGTCTTCAGGCTAATCAATACTACTGATTCCAATATTCATAAAAATAATTATGTATGTTGCTAAAAAATAAGTAGTATTTAATTTTATTATTAAGTTAATACTAGTAAAAAGTAATAACTAGCATGATTAATTTAATAATACTAATAAAATAACTGGATAGACATGCAATAATTAGTTTTTATTTTACAAAGTTGTATTTATTATATATTAAATGTGTCATTCATTTATGTTTTTATATATTAATTATATTATTTATCATACGTTTTAATTAGAGTACTGTAGCTACATAAGATGATTCTAGGAAATTTTATCCATGTATGTAATGTTCTACATGAAACATTTAAATTTAAATACAATAACTTATTTAAAAATAATATTAGTATGAAATCATTGATGAAAAGTATTTATAATTTAAAGTTACAATACTGCACATAGTATACACTATACAAAAAAGAAAAAAAATGTCCTTTTAACAGAAATAATAATATAGTAATCACGTAATTGTAATAAAATATTGTAATACTGTATCGCAAAGGGTTTAACTATCGTAAGTTAGGAATGAATAACAATTTTACTTGAGAGAAAACAAATATAATAATTGCTATGAAAATAAATTAATGTTTTCGGTACAATTTCTAAACATATGTACAATGTATTTACTGAAGATCATATTTTTTAATTTAAACTGTTTTTGACTAATGTTTGAATACCATTATAAATATCATTTTAATATTATAATTTATTTTTGACCAAAACATACTTTTGTTAAGCTTCTTCTGTATTACAAAATACATTTCATATATCCTCTGATTTATCCTGATAGTTAATATTTATATTTTTATTTAAAATTTGGGGAAAATAAAATTAACAGTTCAAAAATATCAATTTTTTAATTCGAATGGGTAGAATAATAGAATTTAGGTCTATACTTACGGTAGATGCCAATATGTCACGAGGACAGCAATACAATAAGAAACTTTTACAGACTTTTGGATCATTATACTGCACTTGGTATCTACTTGTTTGCCCTGTAATCATTGATATTAAGAATAGAAAGATTCAAATAATATAATAACAATGAATTTAAATGATTTGATGTTTAGACGTTACCGTTTCTACCAGTGCCCATGAGCTGGTCCAACATGGCTCTCATTTGGTCGTGCGCAGACCCCATACCGGAGCTCTACATTAGTATTTCAAATGGACAAAAAATAATTAACCGATTTGTACCGGGTACACACTTAGTAGGTGAATTAAATTGGTGGTGTTAATTAAGTGAGGATTTTGAATTTGTACTTTGTACTGACGAGTATAACAAGGTAGAAACAAGCAACAATGATAATATTGGGAATTTAACGTGTTAACACACTTTAATAATTTAGTTGGCGATTTTTTAATGGTAAATATTACTAAATAGTCATCAGAGGAAATTACACGAATGTTAAAATATTTTACTTGCAGTGTGACCAACCAATCTATAGCGTACCACGATGTTATACAATGGTTACCAAAACTAAAAAAGAGCGGGAGTTCAAAATATTTTGACGGATATGACTATAGACATAATGATAAATGAAGCGATCAAGAATTATACTGGATTGCGGAATGCGAATTACCAATGTAGAACCAACTTTCTCTTTTTCATAACTTTACCCATAGTTATTATCTTGTACATTTTATTATTCGTTATTGATAAATAACAAATACAATTTTACTGTTATTTTTAGAAAAAAAAAACTAAAAAAAAATGGAAAATGAAAATATTCCTAAATAGTTCAAAACAAATCATAATATTTCGAAAATTTTATCGTGTATAAAAAATGCAACTATAAACAACCAGTGAAAATTTCATGTATATACATTAATTTGTTTTAGCCACCAAAAACCAAAATTGTTTTCTCGAAAACAGATTTTGCGTAAAAATTGCCGTTTTTCCTTAATTTTTCTTTTGTTTTTCAAGGCGTTTTAGAAAACCATTGGGAAATTTTTACTTTTGATCCTCTAAAGTACAAACTAGATTCACTTTCCCATCAGAAAAGATACTGTTGAAGAAAATCCATGCACTTTGACTGTCCTAAAAGGTGATGATTTTTTTTGGGTGGTTGGTACTAAATTATAGTCGGGGGGCTAAGCATAGGAGCAAAGGGCTAAGCAAAAAAAACGTTATTCTTGCAAGCGGTAGATACATGAATATGTTCAAACTGTGTAGACTGTAGATTATATAAAAAGGTTGAGAACCATTGGCATATATTTGACGAGATATAGTTATATACTTATTTAAAACCTTGAAAAGAAAAATTGACCTACCCGAACAAGTCGGATGGTTTTAAAACCGTCGTAAATTATATTAACAGCCGACGAACTGCGTTGTATTTTCGGTTTTCGGAAAAATTAAACACCGACAAATGGAAAAATGTTCTATTATTTACACACCTGCAGAATGAAATGTCCAGATAAAGCGATGGTAACAATTACTTATTGTCACCCGAGAAACATGATTTTATAGTAACTGAGTCGTGGGATAGACGTCGTATAGATATTTTTGTTCATCTCAGACCGTACTACACAATATTCAGGTGTTTGTCGTTTATGTATAGTCAGTGCCGTAACTAGGCTTCTTGAGGCCTGTGTGCAAAACTAAAATATTGAGGCCCCTTATTATATTTTTCAATACACACCTCAAAAACTTTTTTTGCAATTTTTAAAGTCAGCAAACTAAAATTAGGGATCAAACAAAAAAAATTTTAATTTAAAATAATCTATAATTTTAAAACAATTTCTCAAGGCTATAACTAACTCAAAAAAGTAAAAATTTTCCAAAATGTAATGAAAATATTAATATAAATATTTGCTGAACACTTCAATGGTCTACGCCTCTACATTTATTAGTTTTCGAGTTATAAAAAAAAATAAAATTTTTGGTTTTAGATAAAAATGACAATTTTTTTTTTTTTTATTGACGCTTTGTTATATCTAAAACGACTAAAACTAAAAATGTCAGTCTTGATCTCCAAAAAGTACCAACTAGATTCACTTTTCTAACAGAAAAAATGCTGATTTCGAAATTCGGAATATTTTTACTACCCAATGTTGATGACCGACAGAAATGAAAAAAATTATACACGTCTTGTAAAATCAATACATTTGTTCGTTCCTCTCAAAATCTAAAAACAGTGATCACGACTCCATGCTATATAAAAAAAAAAGAAATAACATTGGTTTCGTTTCCAAATCAATAATAAATAATTTATATATTTTAATAATTTTATATTAGTCTTTAGATCTTTTGAGGCCCTTCGATATATTATGAGGTCCGAGGCCTGTGTGCGGTGCACACTTTGCACACCCGGTTTTTACGGCACTGTGTATAGTTATAATAGAGTATTATATTATTCGACTAAAATAATAAAATATATAGCCAAATAATACAGACGTATGCAGTCGGTCTGGGGTCACACACACACACGATAGAATTAAAAATCAAAAATTAAACACAAGAAAATTATAACATCAATTTTAGATTCTTAATTCTTATTGTATTACTAGACACGATAAAACCTGTAAATATTAATAAAATACCTGTGCATTTTATCAACTTTAAAACGCGACTTCTAAAGAATAATTTCAAATAATAATTTATCATTTATCATGAACATCGTCGTGTTTATAGTGTTGACATTCGTAAATTAATTTGGCTGTACGAGTCGGCTAATGATTCGTGAATGACGAGTGTATACATAGGCACTAAATGTATTATCTATATCATATAATTCAGGATATCTATTATGTGCTACGTGAATTATCTCTGCTTAAAGTATTATATTATACATTTTCAAAACGGACTAACCTTTGCACTGTCTGATAAAAATGTAGCTACGGTATATATAATATTATACTGTATTATATAGTATTATAATTACATACAATTATTTTTAATATAATATACATTTAAGAATATACACATTAATTTAATATTACATAATAATGTTAAATATTATAGTCAACTATGAAAAAAAATTATAACTCAAGTGAATAATATGTTAAAAATGGGTGCGCATAAAATATCCGAAAATATTGTGTCCGAACAGTATTTTAGCCGAAAAATATTTTTTCCAAATAATATACGAGTACCATAAGAAATGTGTTTTAACAGAACAGTTATTTTGCAGAAACGTATTTTATCCGAATAGTATTTTTGCCGAAAATATAACGTACGTATTCAGAATCTCTAATAAATATGCAATTAAATTATTTTTTTCTATCTCCTGTAAAGTGATAATATTGTTATCACAATTTTTTTATAATATTTTCAATAAGCCCTTTCGCTACGAACACTTCTTATAAAGAATTTAATGTGACTTAAATTTAAATTGACTTGCGATGAATACCTAGAAGTGATCACTAAAAAAAACAGTATTAGGTTATACCACATACGTGTTAATCATACAATTTGAACGCTTTATTTTAAGTTTGAAATAATCTACACATGTTCGTGGGATAAAAATTAAGTATGACTGTATTGTATAGTGGGATTCGTAAATTAACTCGGCTGTACGAGTCAGCTAATGAGTCGTGAGTGACGAGTGTACCTATATATATAGGCACTAAATGTATTATATATACCTATGTCGGAATTCAGGTTATCTATTATGTGCTACGTGCTTAAAGTATAATATTATACATTTTCAAAACGGACTAACCTTTGCACTATCTGATAAAAATGTAGCTACGGTATATATAATATTATACTGTATTATATTGTATTATAATTACATACAATTATGTTTAATGTAATATACATTTAAGAATATACAAATTATTATAATATTACATAATAATGTTAAACATTATAGTCAACTATTAAAAATAATAATAACTCTTCTAATAATAAGTTTGGTATTAAAAATATTTATAGTTATTAGTCACTTGTTGAACGTAGTACTAATTACTAATACCTATGATAGCTTTAGATTGCGTACTTTCCGATGCTTGTGAAAAAAACTAATAATTTTGGCTGTTTTTTCCATTACAGAAGCATGCTTTACAGCCTTTGTTGTGGCCTTCTTTCTGTATCCTGATCCACTAACTCTTAATCTATGACCAATGACTAAAAATGTGATCTGCTGTACAGTAGGTTACAAGTGGGTCACTGTATAATGGATGGTAATAAATTTGAATTCAATGATAAAATATCATTGCATAAGAAAAACGATTCTGAGCGAAAACGGTTAGTCAGCCCATGATACTACGAAGTATATTTGATAATACTAAGGTGAATAAAGAAATTTATATATAAAATATTTAAGTAGAATATTGTTTTAAATTTTCAATCATCAGCTATAAAAGTTGAACATTTTATAAATTTTAGATTCTGAGTGGAACGATGAATGTATTGATTTTACAATGATGTGTGTTTTTTTTTTATTTTCTTTTGTGTCTGTCATCACCTTATAGGATAGTAAAAGTGCTTGGATTTTCTTGGACAGTATCTATTCTGATAGAAAAGTGTATCTAGTTGTTACTTTTTGGGGTCAAAAGTTCCCAGTAGTTTTAAAAAGCGGATTTTTTACGCAAAATCTGTTTTCGAGTTGTAATCTGTTTTTGATGTAACTTTAAAACAAATGACCGTAGATAAATGAAATTTTCTATACACGATTTTGAACTGTTTAGGGACATTTTGATATTCCATTTTTTTCTAGTTTATTTCTAAAAATATCAATTAAATTTTATTTGTTTTTTAAAAAAGTTTGAAAATTTAATAGAAGGACCCTAGTATATTGTTTCAAAGACAGATGAAAAATATTAAAAATCATTGGTCACAGGTTTTTTTTATAAGCATTTAAAGTTCAAAAATTGACAAAATATGGAAAAATCATGAAAATTAGCAAATTATTTTGAGTTAAGAATTCGTAAAAATTTTTCTTTTTAAATCTAAGATTTTAAAATGTAATACATTATTTTTCAATAATTCTTCTTACGTACTTACTACTATTGTTGTGTCTCATAGGTAACATAATATTATTATGAATATTGTTTACCTATGTTTAATATATAATAGTTTTGATAAAATCCATTACTATTAGTATATTATTATCTATTTATTTTGTATTGATCATAATAATATAATAAGGCGCTCTTTGTCGGCTTGATTTTATGCATAATATTTTGCGTTTA